CAATGTGAGACAATAGTGGATAACATGACAGACATTGTGTGGTGCATAATATTTCTTTGGAAATGTTAAAATCCAACTACTTACCCTTCCTTTGCATTGAATGCCAAACTTTCATCAGCTGCAACAAGGTGTCTTAATGTTCGCTACAATAAAAGCACATTAAACACAAAATAAGCCACCTTACATCTAGACTAGACTGGATAGCAAATTTTAATATCAGTATCTCAAATTATGAAGTTTAAATGAAATGCAGAAAACTTACTGAAAGATCATGTGGTGTTTCCCTGACTTTTCTAACATGGTCAGTCTGATGTTGTTGTTGCTGCTGTTCTTGTTGTTGAGAATTTCTTTCAACAGCTTCCTTTAACTCGTCCATTTTTTGGAGAACCAAATCTTTAAAATCAGTCTGCTGCATTGCAGTATTCTTGCAAATATCTTCCAGTGCATTAAAATTCTCCAACATTTGTTGGCATTCTGAAAAAAATAAGAAATCTCATTCAAGTGTTATGGTGCTATAGCCCACTCACTCCAAAGCTAATTGTTTCAGTAGTCAGTCTCTCTCATCGAAGTCAACATAATAACCTCATTTACATAAACTCGGCCTGTCTAGGATAAACAATGGACAGGAAATGGACCACTCGACTCAAATAGTTTATCAACATTTGCATACAAAATCGAACCTGTATTAATGCAACTAAACTAGTACATTGTATTATCATGTCTGTTAAAAAAAAGAATAACAATACCTAATGATACGTCAATGGTATGTTGTTGTGAAACATTTGTATTGGTCTCAGTGTTCAGCTGGTGCAGTGGTGCTCTCGCTGGTGTAGAAAATCTCTGAGTCTGATGGTGATTTCTGTCACTGGTGTTAACGAAACCAGGCGGATAAAATGAGAAACTATTCTCCCCACCACTGGAACTAGCGTTACTGCCACTATGTGCGTTAAAATGCGAATTACTGATTGGAGAATGGCTACTGTATGGTGCTGAGTAATCACCAAAAATATCGTTGGATGCTTCTGTAGCAGACATCCCAAGACGGCGTCGACTGGTGAGACATGGTTACCAAATGTAAATAGTTTAAATAGTTCACGCGACGTCGATGTTTACAGCACGGTCACCAGTGGCATAATGAATGACATGTCAACTATTGGTGGCGCCCAATAAAGAACCCCCTAGCTAACTGTACAATATATTGCTGAAATGAATTTATTGTTTGAAGTAGCAAGAGAATATCTTCAAAATTGAAAATAACTGTTTATTATAGGTGTTAACATGTATATGATTATATATATTTAGAGAAAGAAGATTCAATTAAACATTTGTGAAAAAAAAAATTACACTGTAGTAAAACGCGATGGCCTAGGTGGTCTGATCTGAAACAGCTTTTCCATTTCCTGGAATGTCCTCCACAAGGGAAGATCTGTGTCATATCAATACATGGTGACTGGTAAGAACAATAATAATAATAATAAACTTTATTGATATCGTATCCTTTATAGAATCTTGAATTAAATTACAATAAAGTGTGGATGAAATAAAAAAAAAACAATAAAATAAAATAATAACATAAAAAATATGATAATAACAGAAAAAACCTTGCAGATATGCCTTGATATTAATATTGTTGTTTATTTGGATGAGAATGGAGGCTTTTTCATGTTATGTTCACCTTTTTGAAACATTCATATATGTATTTAGCTAGTTTTATAATTGATTTATTTTCATTGTTGCTCACCATAGCTATCATTTTTTCTTAATCTGTTGTGTTTGGGAGTGAAATTTTTCGACTCAGCGTTTAGTTTTTTTTTTCATTTTCATAAAATTCGCAGTTAAGCAGAAAATGTTTTTCATCTTCAATTTCGTCTATATCACACACATTTCCTTTTGCATGCATCTATTTTATTGTAGCGACCCATTTCTATTTGTAGAACATGAGCACTAATTCTTAGTTTTGTTAGTGCTGATCTATGTTTAGTGTCTTTTATTACTGAAAGACACTCCTCATATGAGCAGTCGTTTTTTAACATTCTGTATATGCGCAATTTGTTTTTGTTTTTTATTGTCATCTTGCATTTTTTCTTGACAGTTAATTTTGAATATTTTTTTAGATTGTCCTTTTTCGTTACAGAGGCAGCATTATGCAGACGTTGGTTCTCCCACACATTGTTTTCATTTACATATTTTAATATGCTTTTCACACCAGTTACCCAGTTATGTGTATTGTTTTTGTCAAGCTCCATTCCAAGTCGTTATGCTTCATGGACTAGAGTATTTTTATTTTTTTATTTTTAGCCACTAATTTATCAAGTGTTTTATGCTAGTTAGAAGTAGGGGATACCTACCAAGTTCTAACAGACATGTTAAATTATTAAATTATTAGCTTTAGAGTTAACTTGTAACACATATTTACAGAATTTGGTGTGTAGATTCTCCATATTATTATGAAAATCTTTGGATTGTAATATTTACTCAGTAACTGTTTAAGTACAAATATATGATCAGTTGTTCTGAATTTTGGCATGAAGCCAATCTGTTCTTTCATTATAATGTTATTTTTATTGATATGTTTAGTAAGTCTCTCTTTCAGTACAGAGGTGAAGAGTTTACTAAGACTATTTAGAAGAGTAATTCTTCGAAAAATTGTCTGGGTCAGCTCACTCCTCTTTTTTAAAGATTGGCGTGATAA